ATGTTTTCAACCCGCAACCCGTTTATAACCCAACCCGTTTAACCCGTCACCCGAGTTGACCCGACCCTAACCCGACCCAACCCGCCCGTTTGCCAGGTCCTGAGTTGATCTGACTGACTGGTGAATTTACGGGAGGGTGGAATAAGCATTTCTTTCAGTACATGAGAACGAGTTATATTTTATATTTAATTTAAAAAATTTTTATTGTACTTTTTGAAATTTAGTATTTATTTAAATATTTAAAAGTTTATATTTAATATTTAATTTAATTGATATTAAATAATTTATAGGTATATATTTATGTATTTGGTTTAATGAAAAGAAAGATCTAATATGAAAAACTATTATTACATCTGTTTTATGTTTTGTTTAAAATTTATTATTTATATAAATTGTTGTTGTTGTGTGTAGAATTTGTTAGATTTATAGGCTTTCCTTAACTTTTCTTTTTTATTTTTTTATTTTTGTTTTTAAAATTTATTATTGTTATATAATTTTTTCATCTCAAAATAACTATGATTTTGTATTTTGAGTTTGGCTCAAATTAATTATCATGTTTTAATTTTTAAGGTAAATGAATATTTTTTGGTTATTTTGATCATATGATTATTTATTTATTTTGAGTAATTATCTTATTACAAAAGGTTTAGCATTATCTTTTAATTTTTTAAGAGTAATATTAGTTAATACATAAATTGTCCTTAGGTTTTTAATTTAAAGAAAATGTAAAATAATTATAATTATTTTAAGATAGAGAGACTAAATATTAAATATAATAAATATATTATAAAATTTTAATTATATAAATATAAATAACAGATCACTTATATAAATTAATTAAATTAGTAAAATAAATAACTTTGAATCTTTATATTTATTTATTAATTTATGAATATATTATTTTTATACTCATTATTTATTTATTTTTTCTACAATTCAAGCATATTACTTAAATAGTTAAAATACAATGAGTATACCAGTAGCTAAGGTTGTCAAAATCGAGAGTTTATCTAAAATTATTTTGGTTAGGTAAAATCAAAATCATAAAATCAAATTGATAAAATCGAGAGTTTATTAAATTTAATATATAATATATAATAAATTATATATAATCAAAATTAAACAACGATAAATCAAATTTAAAATTAAAAACTTGAAATTAACTAATTAAAATTTAAATATTATCTCGAGATTTGGAAGCACAATCTTCAATTGTTAATTTGTTATTGGGTTGAGGGTTGTGGGTTTTTAAAATGAGAAATGAGTTTAATTTAAGGGCTGTCTGGTCAAAGCCCATTAACACCAAATGGAAGCTCAACAGGAAATGGTCCAGCTGCTTAACGGGGGTAAAATCGAGCTTTTATCCAATTTCACAATAAAATCATAATTTTACGATTTTACCCCCCTATTTCATAAAATTTCGATTTTAACTTAGATTTTACTTGAAATGCTTACTTAAAATCGTAAAATCACATGGTTTTATGATTTAAATTGTGATTTTGACAACACTGCCGGTAGCCAATGCCCATCCCTTGATGGAAAGAGTCATTTGGAATTTCATCTGGAGCGCATAGACCCAAGACTAGTTTCAACATGAGTGGATTGGATCCGGTCGAGTCTTTTCGTTGGACCTAATTTTTGTTAAATTTTTTCGGTAGATAGTTCTTTTTTAGATTTAAATGATTAATTTTGAGTTGGTCAAATCGAGTTTTTCATATAAATCCTAAATTTTTGTTAGATTTAAAATTCTTTTTTCTTTTTTCCTTTAAACTTATCAAGCCACCTGACCTTAAAATAATTATTTATTCATAGATGTTCCATTGGTAAATGAGCTAAAGCCTGCCCAACCTATAAAAACGGTGTAAGAGCTAACCCTACTGTCCTGCCCGACCCAAAAAAGAAAGGTACGGAAGAGCTAAGTCCCGCTCGACTCATGCCTTTCCCAATTTCTATACCCTAACTCTGACCTTAGCTCGATTGACCGAAAGAAAAACACGACCCTTTCTCGAGCTCAAAGCGGCCTGAACACCAGAAAAAACGAGTTAGTAATGGATTCCGCAACAACAGCAGCGGCCGGGGAAAAGCCCGTCATTTTTCAAGCTATGGCTACAGATGATGAGACGATGGTGATGAGGAATATCTGGTTGATCATCAAACCCAACCGTCAGAAAGGAATCTTCGAAACTTTCAAAGACATAGAGCCGCTGGAAGATAAGGAACGCTTTGGAAGTGCTCTTTTGGGGACAAGTTCTATCTTTGTGAAATCCTCCTTGTATGCAGTGGGTGGCCGAAAGCCCAACAGTGATGAGTTGAGCAGCTGTATCCGCTATCTTGACACCAATAAGCTTTCCGAGGGCTGGAAGGTCGGCACCCTACCATCTGCTTCTTTTGATTCTGTCCTTGGCGTTTATGATGATTCCATATACATACTTCCTGGTATGTGGAATACGTATCCTACAAAACAAGAGGGCTACATCTGGAACGTCATAAACAATGAATGCCTTCAAACCAGAATACACCCTCCAGAAGATGGAGACGGGCAGTGGCGTAGGATTCGTGCTTGTGCTTCTTTAGATGAAGGGCTTCTAATTGCTATGGATGGAGAGAAGAACAACTTCTTTCTCTATAACCAAGAGAACAATGATTGGAAGATTTACAATATTCAGGATCCACTTCCCAAGTTTATTGGTGAGACTAGCTTCGCAGCATTTAATGGGAGACTGTACTTCTTGGAGGTTCGAAGTATGTCCCCTGCCTTCTTATTCGTCTATGATATTAACAAAGGGAAGCTTGTGATGGACAAAAAGCCTATTCCAGAGTTTGATGATGACTTGTGGTCAATGGATAAGTGGGATAGAGTGGTCCGCCTAGTTCCCGTGGCTGATGACAAGCTCTGTTTTCTGTGGCTTGGTCCTGTTACTTATGAAAATGAAGATGTGTGGCATCCTGTTCGAATCCTTCACTGTCTCAAGGTTAAGTTTTCCATCAATCCTAATCCTTCTAATTCAGAGGTTAAGGTTGAGGCCGATAAAGGATTTCACACAAACATCACTAATTTATTAGATTGCCTGCCATGGTAACTCCTTTTCCATTTTCCCTTTTAATTTGCATGTCATATATACACCTTGATTTCTAACTATTCTTTTCTGTTAACAGTAGTGACCCTGAACAATTTGAACCTGAATTGGAAGGCAGATCTCCTCTCTACCCCCGGCTGTTAGTGCTTTTCCGTTTCCTCTTAATTTTTGCAACTATGCTGCTGATTTCTAACCCTTTTTTTTTCTTCTGTTGGTAGTGATGCATTTCAAAAACAACAGACAGACAAGTCTTCCACTGAAGAAATAGGAACATGGTTTTTTCTACTCATTTATCCTCTTCCAATTTATGTTTTTAATTTTGGGTGACATTACTTGTTTATCCTCTTTTAATTTTTGTGTCTCTTGTTTGCAGGTTGATTTCTGGCAAACAATTTCAAAATCAAGCGAAGGACATTACTTCCCCTATAGAAAAAGGAAAAAGAAAAAGGTTTTTACCGGTTTACCTGGTCCATTTTTTCTTTTTTAATTTCAGCCAGTGGCGTTACACGAAATATGCACCTTGATTTCTGAGATTGTTTTTCTGTTGGTAGGACTCAGCCTGTAGATCCACCATTATCACATCATGAACAGAAAAGGGCTAAGGTTTGTTGTTAGTGTTTCCATGCATTCTCTACATTCCTTTCGAATTGCATTTATTTACAGCCAAATCCCCAAATTGCTACCTGATTTTTTTTTTTACTCGGATTTCACACCCTAAAAGAATTTTAATTCAGAAATTGCATCACAAAATCATACCCCAGTTTTGATGACTTTAAAATATACAATCCTACAAAATAAGAACAATCAAAGACAACCATTGAATTTTTCTCTTTTTTGGGAACTAGTACAATTGGAGGATGGGGAATGGGATTGCCAAGGCTTGAAACTTGGACTTTTAGATGCCACCACGCTTCTCAAAGGAGTTGTGGCCATTGGGCCACAATGGTGGTTGGCAACGACTATTGAAATTGAATAAAACACAATAATATAAGACAGAATTCCAATGTGTATATAATATTGGAAATTGAATAATAGTGCATAACAGTTTTAACTTTGAAAAAAAAAAAATGGAGTCCTAACTTTAAACATTGTTTTATTTAATTAAAATCCAATTCAAAATTCAGAAATTGCCCTTATTAAATGTTTATATATATAAGTAGGGGTTTATACACCACATTTATATAAAATTTTGACAACATTTATTCACTTTTTATTATATTTATTAAAAATAATTATCAATTTCACCAAAAAGGTCGTGATAAATCTCAATCATTCAATGGTTGAAATTTTGTATAAATGTGGTGTGTAAAATTTGTTTGTAAGTATATTTCTACTAAATATATATATATATATATGCATTTCAAAAGGGATACAAACATAGCCAACTGGGCTCTTGAAAACTTTGAGAAGAATGTGACAGAAGAAAAAACAACCTAATAGCTGAACCCAAGAAATGAAAATTCATTTTCAATGCATTGACAGACCACTCCTAGTCGGCTTTCCTGAAAGGCAATGTAGTTACCCCCTTCCCTAATCCTCTAACTTGTACATAGATTCAAGCTTTTTTCAAGCTCATTACCATTTAATTCGTTATCCATGGAGTAGCCACCCCATGACAGAAAGAATGAGAAAGCTAGTTGTTACTTTTCCCACAGCTGAATGTTAGGTATTCAGCTTTTAGCTGGTCATTCTCCTTTATAGAATCGAAGTGTAGGGTGCTGAAGGGAAAATAATGTGTCAGAATCAGATTTGAAAAACCAACCAAACTCTATTAGAACCCTAAGAAAGATTAGAATGCTAAGATCTCTATCCGAACTCAAACAAACGCTGAAGAAGAAAGCAAGAGAGACGTAAGACACTAAGACCAATATGGCTGGTGAATATGTGTGTCCATTTAGTCATCATCTTCCTTTGAGAAATAAATAAATAAAAGAAAAAAAGAAAAATACATAGCTTAATCAATAGGAAAGGGAAACCCTCCCTCTCCTATGCTTTGCCCTTTGGCTAAAAGTAGGTTTATGAATTTAAAAATACACGTAAGACCACGTCAGTTACAGGGTTGAAAGGATGCAAAACAATACATCATTTTCAGCTTTGTTCTTCTAGACAAGCATGCTTTGCATGATCTTAATAAACAGTTCTTAGAGGGGCAACTAAAATAGTGGAGATTGTATTAAGGGTTAGTTCAATTCACTAGAAAGAGCTTCACCTCACTCAAAAACAACTCCATATGCAGAACACTAGAGCTTCACCCTAGTGTGGCCTTTTTAAATTGTGAGACCCATTTTGAAGGTCGAAAGCGGACAATATTACTAGTTGTGATCATGCACTTTGGCATGGGATATCACACAATTTTCATCCAATGTCGACATTTTCTTATCCATGGTTCTCGAATTATCAATCCCCCTCCCACCTAGGCTTTTAACATTATATAGGACAACATCTTAATCTTAACTATATATATAAATTTGTTGTAACAACAAAATTCTTCTTAAAATCCTCAAACAGATACCCATTGGACTTTAAAACAATCCTCAATAAATACCCAATGAGCTCTAAATTTCTTTTAATAAATATCTAATGGGCTTTTAAAAAAAAATACATATTAAAAAATAATTTAAATCTACCCTATATAAAATATTACTCCTATAATCCAACCTTAATAAGAGTTGATTTCTTATTAATTTTATTTACACATTCTTATTATAGGATTTGACTTGATATTTCTGTAATATCTTTCCAATTATATGGCATTAGGGTTACAATTATATAAATGGATAAGTAAAAGGGGAAAAAAAAGGTTACCAGACACATAATCACATTTTGAAATTTTGGTTCTTTTCAGAATTGTAGAACTATAGTGTTGGTCCTAAATTTTCTAAAATTTTTACATTTTAATCGTTAGGTTTCAGAATTTGAAGATTTAGTCAATTTAGTCCTCAATTTCACCTGTTTATTCATCATTTTTCTTTGTAAAGCATCGTGATTTAATTCCAAATCTATGATCCTAAAAAATTAAGTCAAATTCTATACAAATAATGGAAATAATATAAAATTGAGTAAAATCACATTAAATTTATTTAAATATTAATAAAATTAAGGTTAAATTAGCATCATATTATGTGTAAGAATTCAACCTATCAAGTATTATAGGGAAAGTTGGTAAATTTTACATTAAAATTTTATTAAGACTTTTGTTGGGCTGTTAATACTCCTATTAGAAAGAAAAAAAGAAAAAAGAAAAAGAGAACCAAAAGGAGGATTATAATGGCAATAGTTGAACACTACTTTTGAAGGAGTAGAAGGGGTACTTAGATGACCCATAAGGTGTAAAGTTAAGTGAAAAAGAATTACAAAATAATGTTAAGAAGTTTTGCAGCTTATATTTTGACTAAAGCAGTTCTAATATAAAAATAGGAGGAAATTAGGGTAGGTATATAATGATAATTAGAGATACAAAGAGTGACTAAGAAAGAATGATAACAAATAAATTATTAATATGGAGAGAGAAAATTAATGTGAGTATAAGGTAAAAATATATATAATGATAAAATATGAATAGTAACCTAAGAGATGAAGCTCAAGAAAAGTAATAAATGGTGGAGTAAGTGAAAATGTACTGAGATAATAGTGTTAAGAAATTGTGTTATTTATGTTTTGACATAAAATATTTCTAATATGGAGAAGGGGCAAGAGACAAAAATTAGGATAAAAAAATTTATAAATAATGATTTATTAAAATACAAGGAATGATTAAGAAATAATAATAGGAATAAAATGATAATGGTAAAAATAATAAAGACAAATAAAATACTAATAAAGAGTGAGAATTACTAATACAAAGGGGTTTGTCTAATTGCATATCTTTTTCATTAATGTGTAAAGAAAAACATAATAATTAACTTCATTTTCAACACCAGTTACACTTGACAAAATTTTAATTGGATTGTTAATAAAATTGAAGTCAAATTTTATTTTTTTTTTCCATAAAAATTATTGAGAAAAAAGTGCAATTAATGCATCTTTAGGGTACAGGTTAGAAAAACTCAATAGAGGGAAAAAATTGGAACTGCAAGGAAATCTAATAATGAGAGAACTAGAGTAAAGTGAAAAGGAATTAGATAATAATGTTTAAAAGTTATTTCACATGTGTTTGGCCTAAATCAATTCTAACATAGACAATGTGTGTAAGAGAGAGAGGGAGAGAGAGAAGGGGGAAAATAGGCTAGAAAGGACATAATAGTAGATGAAAATGCAAGGAGTGACTGAGAAAGAATAATATACAAAGAAAGATTAGGGAGATGAAAGAATAATAACATAATTTATTAATATATAGTGAAAGAATGTATTGTAGAGAAATATAATGATAGATTGTAAGAGGAAAAGCTAAGAGATAGAGTTCAAATAATAATAATAATAATAATAATAATAATAATAATGATAAAAGTGGAGTAAAGGTAAGTGAAAAGTACTAAGAGAATAATATTAAGGAGTTACATTTTTAAGTTTTGATATAAAATTTTTCTAATAAAGACACGTTGAAATATAAAAAGGGTAAAAAATAAAATATATAATGATAGATTAAAATACGTGAAATGTGTAAAAAAGAATGATAGAGATGGAAAGATAATAAAAGAAAGAATAATATGTACACTAGAGAATTAAATATAATAATGTATAAATTTGAGGGAAAAACTGAGAGAACCCAGTTTTGATGACTTTAAAATATAGAGTTTAAATTCACAATCCCACAAAATAAAAACAATCAAATACAACCATTGAAATTGAGTAGAACACAATAATATCAAAGATAGAATTTTAATATACATATACATAATTTATTGAAAATTGAATAATAGTGCATAACAGTCTCAACTTAAAAAAAAAAAAATTAGTCTTAACCTTAATTGTTGTTTCATTAAATTAAAATTCAATTCAAAATTTAGAAATCTACCTTATTAAATGATGATATATATACATATATGAGTAGGGATCTACTTACACTTCTTACACACCACACTTACACAAAATCTTGACTGTTTATTTTTTTACTTTCAATAGTTAAGATTTATTCACTTTTTATCACATTTATTGAAGATAATTTTTTTTACCTAAAAAGTCATGATAAATCTCAATCATTTATATAAGTGTAGTAAGTGAATTCCTACTATTTATATATAAATAAATTCATTTCAAAAGGGATACAAACATAGCCAACTAGGCTCTTGAAAACATTGAGAAGAATGTGATGGAAGAAAAAACAACCTAATAGCTGAACCCAAGAAATGAAAATTCATATTCAATACATTGGCAGGCCAACTTCTTATCACATCAATTGGCTTTCCTGAAAGGCAATACAGTTACCCCCTTCCCTAATCCTCTAACTTGTAAGTAGATTGAAGCTTTTTTCAAGCTCATTAACATGTAACTCGTTATCCATGGAGTGGCGACCTCATGACAAAAGGAATGAGAAAGCTGGTTGTTACTTTTCCCACAGCTGAATTTTAGGTATTGAGCTTTTAGCTGGTCATTCACCCTTTTGGAGTTGAAGTGTAGGGTGCTGAAGGGAAAATAATGGGTCAGAATCAGGTTTGAAAAACCAA